GTCCATGGGCCCCGCAGCGGGTTTCAGCGCCACGGCCAGAGGCAGAGCCCTGGAGGGCCGGGCCCTCCAGGCACACCCCCCCCCTCCAACCCGCAGGTCCCCTGGGGCCTCCAGGGTCTGCACTTCCAGCCTGATGTCAGACCAGCGGCCCCTATCCTCTCTGCAGCTTAGGACGTACTTTTTTTCTTTTTGTTTCCAGTTTGTCATGGACTGATACTTCTGTAGAATGCAATACATATGAGAGCTAGAGAATGAAATGACATGCAAAATACTACATTAGATTCAGCAGACATAAATTTACTCTGCTGAATGGCTATACATGTTTCTAAGCTCTTGGCCTGTCTTCTTGCTCACAGTGGACGGGGAACCAACAGTCGGTTCCAACAACCTGAGGCTGAAATGAGCTGTGTCGCGCTGCTCCCTGGCAAACCTGCCTCCGCGTCAGCTCTGGGTTCTGGCTGGGACCTGGGGCCACCTGGGAGCTGCCACTTTGGAGCTTGGGAGGCTCCTTGGAGCACAGGACCCCAAGCCCTGGCTAAGGTGCTGTGGCCATGTCCCCTCAGGATTTGCCGTGGGACAACCCAAGGCTCCTGGCCCTGGGCCCTGGGGACCCCCGGCCCCGCAGGGCTCTCCGCAGGCACTGCACAGGCGTCCCCGCCGAGGGCGAGGGCCTGGGCTCAGGGTGAGGCAGGCTTCTTCCAGAGGGAGGTCGCCAAGCGGAGGGACCACACCTCTCCGGCTGGGCCAGTCCCAGCTCCCTGACTCCACAGCCTCCCAGTGCCGGGAGCCCAGACGAGGTCTGGGGCCAGATTCCTGGGAAGAGAAGGCACAGGGGGCCCAGGAACACAGAGGGAGGCCTCAGGGGCTGGGGCCGGCCCCCAGGAGTGCTCCCGGGGGACTCTCGGAACCAGGGACAGGCCCTTCCCGCAGCCACCGGGGTTCCTGGAAATAACCGACCCATGGCCGCTGGCCTGCGGGCTCCTGTCTAAACCCCGGGACTTAAACCCGGGGGTCAGCAAATCACGCTGTGTCCTGTCACCGGCAGCCTGAGAGGCCGCCCAGGGCTCGGGGGTCAGCGCCCCCGAGGCCACATGAATCAGCCAGCTTGGCGATAATTAACTGGGGTCAGAGCAAAGCTGTGAAACCTCCCCACGGGGCGGTGTCTGAGCGTGGGACACCCGGGCCAGGGGCGGGCGCTCAGCACGAAGCCACAGACGCTCGGGCGGCGGGCCTGGACTCGCCCTGGCTGCACGCCCCGGGCTCTGTGGCACTGTTGTGGAAGGGGCAGATGAGGGGGAGCCTGGGAAACAAAAGCATTTGTTCCCAGAGCCTCCTCCTGGACCTTGAAATGAATTTTCCATGCCCTGTTGAATATACCCGATTGTCATCATGGCTGTCTCATTGGAGTTTGTAAGGCGAAGGCCGAAGAGAATGTTCCAGTCACACCACACGGCAAAGCGGCGCCCCTAAAGCATGGGATCATGGATAGATAGACAGATGGATAGATCTCTCGTGGAATAAAAGCGTTCACAAAAATAAATCGTTATAGAAACATTCCCTGGGAGAGACTTACGTGCGTCCTACGGACCTGAAACTTGGACCTCTTCAGAACTGGTGTTTATGTAAATGTTCCTTAAAAGGAATAAACTCAATGAAATTAGGAAGAAAAACAAGAACGAACTTTTCTTTTACCCTATTATTTATTTTATATTTCAGACAAGGCAGAGACAAGATGCTCCCGGTACCTGCGCATCCCTTACGCCCCCGTGTGCCCCGGGGGAGGAGTTCGGTTGTCTCGGAGGTCTGCCGCGGTCCTAGCTTGGGGTCACAGAGCTTGGGGTGGCGCTAGGGCCATCTCCTTCTCCTGCCTCCCCAGTTAGTCCAGCCCCTCCTCTGGGGTGGCCCACGGCGCCCAGTCGTTCTGCTTCAGAAGCCCCTCGTCAGGGTAGACGCCACGTCTGTGCGTCTACCTGCTCCACAGGCTCATGTTTGTTGGGTCCCTTGCGGGGCTCCCACTGCGTGTCCTCAGCACCTACGGGCTCGATCAGTGCTTGTCCACGGTGTCTTTGCTGAAACCTCCGTCTCTTCCCACAGAGGTGTGCACCTTCTGCGCTGCAAGTGCAGACTTCATCCCCGCTTGGACTGTGCGGGAAACTTCAAGAGGTCGCTTGTCTTGAGCAATAAAGATAACACGCAGTGTGTCGTGCCCGGAGGAAAGGGTTGACTGTTGAATCCAAAAGTGAATGATTACCCGGTTCAATGCTTCAAGAATCCAGCAAACCCAGTTAACCCCAGACGGCACGTGGCTGGGGGTTGCCTGACGGAGTCCACGGCCCGGTGTTGGGACGTGCCCCGGAGACTTTGCCCAGCCCTTTCATGGACACGCATGGTGTCCTGGTTAGATTCCCAGCCCCAGCCACGTGCCTCTCCTGAGACGGGGCAGGCTCCCGTTGGGATCTCGTCCTTGCCTGTCCCCTGCTGTAGGATGTAGAACACCGCTCAGCCAAGTTACGCCTTAGTCCCTCATCCACAAAATTGGAGTTAATTATAAACCAATACGTGCTTTTGCTGTTCAGATTTGGTGACATCTCACCTTGGAGCACCCGGGCCCGCACACACCAAGAGACCAACGTTTGCCGTGGTTGCTGCGGCTGACGAAGCCAGAGGACCACCCTGGGCCACCCCCACTCTGGGAGACCCTCCAGCTCTCTGCCATCGCTGCGCACTGAATGGGAAGGATGGAAATGCCCCTTGGACAAGTGACCGACCAGTGAAACATTTTGCTGAAGGGGCCACACTCCGAGATAACAAGCTGGGCAGAGCGTTCCACGGAGGGTCAGGGTTAAACATTACAATCTGCCCCGATTGGGGAGGATGGGGTAGGGTGGGAGGCAGGAGGAGCTTGTTTAAAGTGTGGTGTTTAAAACGAAACAGAAACACGCTCGTGGACATAGAGAACAAATGGAAGGCTGCCCGGGGCGGGCGGGGGTGAGGAACGGCGAAGCGGGAAGGGGAAGTGCATGCGTCCGGTTCTAAAATAAGCCGTGAGGAATCGATTCAACTTAACAGGTGGCAATCGCTTCGTAAGGTGGATAAACGTTGAGTCACTATGCTCTATGTCTGAAACTAGCATGATGCTGCGCGTCAATGATAATTTAAAAATAAATGAATAAAAAAAGATTAAAAGGAATTTTAAAAATTTGTTTAAAAGGAATAGTCATAAAGTACAATATATGTCTATCTGCATATTCTTGACTACACATTTCAAGTTGCTGGAGGTGAAACTGGCGTGGTCTGAACGGAGCCTGTCTCAACTACAGCTGGGCTAAAACCGGGACATCGCCTGGCGTTCTCACCGACGCGGGCGTTATTTCCTGGAGTCCTGGTGGCCTGAGAACGCCTGGCAGGAAGAGAATGGGAGGGACAGGGACAGAACCCACGCCCGTTCCCATGCAGCCCTGCGCGGGGCATTTGGTGCTTCGCCAACGCCCCACACACCTCAGCTCCCGCTGGAGCGCCGTTTGGAGGACCCGGCGAGCCTGGGCACTGCGATTAACCCTGGCCTCCCTTTCTGTTCAAGGTGCTCAAAGTTCTTTGATCACAGGACCGTCTGCCTCCTCTGGGTGTGTGTGTGGCAGAGCCACGTAGAGGAGACATCACCCTCTCCAGCTTGGGTTGGCACCCAAGCCAGCTGAGCTTGATCTGAAGCAAACTGGGTGCCTCCGTCCGAGGGAGCCGCTCCTTCATTCTGAGTGAACGCCGTTTCCGGTGAGACCCCCAGAGGCAGTGAAAGGTGCCCCGGCGCTGGGGACACATCAGGAAGGCCCCCCTTCCTGCCTGGGACAGAGCTCCAGGAGCGGGGACCTCGCGTCCTTCGGTCCCTGCGCCCCAGCCCCAGCCCTGACGTTTGGCCTGACGCAAACACATATTTGTGGATCTGAGTCAACTTCGGTGCTTGGGCAGGTGTATGAGCCTCCTGGGCATAAACTGTTGGCTGGTGGCTCATTTACAAAGCAAAGCATAGATGGGGCGTGCTGACATGCAGTAGCTGAGGGCGGGGCCACCCTCTCACCTTCGCACTCACCTGACGAAGGGCCGAGCGCAGGGCACACCTGGCCATAGTTCAGCCTCAGGCCCTGCGAGCGGGCCTGCGGCTGCTGTCCCCTTTCACAGAGGACAGAGCGAGGCGTCCCGGCTCGGGGACTGCCTTCTCTGCATGGAGCTCTAACCCATTTTTTCCTCGGCCCCCAGCTGGGCAGGAGTCTGCACCAGGTGACCAACGACACCTGTGTCAACACCAGTGACTAAGCACAGGTGGGTTGATGGGGCGTTGCTAGAACTTGCTGCGATGTTACCCTCGTATTCCAGCTGAACTGACCACAATCCTTTCAAACCAGCACTGCATTTCGCCCCCTCATCCCATAGGCTGTAGGGGAATGGTTTTTACCTTTCCTTTATCTTTCCACATTCTGATCTCCTTACAAAAGCCTCTGAATGGGCATCGGCATGTGTACGCCCTGCGGGGTTTGTTACATCAGCGATCGAGGGTTTGGGGGGCCAGGGCACGCACCCCAGAGTCTCGCCTTGCGCCTCCGTCGCCTGGCCCTGGAATGACGAGTTCCAAATCCCTCTGCGCATGGGAGACCTCGTTCACAGGGCGAGAAAAGAACGCCGGGCCCCTCGCCAGCGCAGCATGGTGCTGAGTGCTCGGAGCCGCTCAGGGGAGAAGGGGGCAGCGCAAGCCTGTACTGTTGCGGACAGTGACGCCAGGCCGAAGGGACCGTGGGCCGTAGGCACTCCAGCGCTTTGCCCGCCCCACAGACTGGAGGACGCTGGGGGGAAGGACCCTCTTGCAAGGGGACATCATTTATGAAGAACCTAGTGTCATGAGATACAAAAACTATCACAACATGGCAGTCAACCAAGGCTGCGCTTGACCATCCGTTGGTCCAGACAGGCTGGCCGCTAGACCGCACCTAAAGTCGCCCATTGGGCAGAGCTCAGAATAAAATCCCATCCCTTGGAGCGTATTCCATCGGCTTGCTCTGCTCCTGCTTCCGCTTGTGCCTGGCCTTCTGGTAGAAAACGACGATGACCGCAGTGACGACATCCAGCAGGATGACGAGCAGTGTGAGCCAAAATGAGTACCCGTAGCGGTGGGTCTTCTCTCCGTGAGCGGAGGACGGATAAAGCGGGTACAGCGCCTGGGCCAGCTCCTCTGAGAGGTGATTGGATTGCACGTTCCCCACAAACAGCACCAAGGTCAGGAAAGCGAAGGATGCTGAAAGAGAGGCGGCTGTATCAATGACAGTGCGACCCTTTGTTTCATGGCGCTTTTTTTTTCTTTGTGCCACATGGACTCTGTGGTCATTGACCGAATCTACTCTGGGGCTTACGCTCTTTTAGGCACGAAGGTAAAAGAAACGCGAGACCCGAGTTGGATTCCAGGCACAAAACACGGACGTTGGGGCAGGCAGTGTGTGGCCAAGGGCAGCCACTGGGGCTCAGAGCCTGTTGGTAGACGTCACTGTGGACCTGACATCTCACAGACCCCTTCCCAGGGCACCGCACACAGTAGGTGTGCCGATCGGGGGGAGCTGTCCAGAGAGGCCTGGGTGGAAGAATAGACCTGGACAAGGTGGGGAAGGACAAGCAGCAGCATTTCAAAAAGCAGCAGCAGCCCGAGCAGAGATGCGCCGCAGGCGGTGAGCTCCGAACCTCGCGTAGCGCGAGAGCCCAGCCGCCTTGGAGCCGTCCTGAGGGCCCCGAGCGCTGGACAGGACAAGGAGACCCCACCCCCACGCGGAGAGCCTGCCACGCCAGCTGGGCGGCGATTTCACTGCACACCAGGGAGTATGCAGAGCTTTTCACGAGGGAGGGTCTCCTTACTGAGCACACTGTCGAAGAGAATTTTTAAATGTTGCCTCCTCCCTCTTTCTTTGTCCTGCACGACGGCCTCCACCCGAGAACACAGCCCCTGGAGCCGACTTGGGAAAGCTGCCCGGCCTGGGGAGCGATGTGCTTCCGGGCTCAGAGGGCAGGTGGGAGGGTTAGGCTTCTCTGACCCGCACCCCCCATCTGCCAAGGGGAAGGAGCTGGAGACAGAGGGGAGGCCTGCGGCCGCCCAGGGCTGGGGGCGGGCTGGCAGCGGGCGGGGGGGGGTGACAGCTCGAGGACACGGGGCTCCTATCTGGGGTGATGAAAATATTCTAAACCCGACCGTGGTCCTGGCTGCACGTGTCCGTGAACGTGGCTGGACCGGCCCAGCTGTGAGTGTGCCGTGCAGGCGAGTTGTCTGGGGGCCACGCGACCGTGAAGCTGTGGGGGGGGGGCGTGGGGGGGCACTCAGAGCCAGGGTCTGACCGCACCGGGCGGCTGTCGGGAGTCCCCACTCAGAGGTCCTCGGGGACACACGCCACGTGAATCCTCCTGTGCTGACATTTCCCCAGAACTGGACGGACGACTCGGCACCCAGCGCGGCGCTGACACCCGGCCTCCACCAGCCCCGGCCAGGCCTGATGACAGGCTTCCGCGGGAGGACAGCGTCCACGGTCCCTGATGACCAACTCCCACCCTCCGTGCGACAGCTCTGCTTCTCCGGATGCGCGCCTGCCAAGGCCCCGCCCCCGGCGGTCCACGCCGCTCGCGCCCCTTCCTTTTCCTTCATCCTGCCCTCGTGACGGCCCTCATCGACACGCGGGCACAAAGGGGCCGCGCGGATGTGGGGTTAAAGAACTCCGTTCTGAAGTGGATGCACGTGGCTTTGATGCGACTCGGGAGGGGCCAGCACGCAGGCCCGAGCCCCCGCCTGAGCCCCTCCAGCATCCTGGGGCAGGAGGCTGAAGGGCTGGCTCCCCGCGCTGCCCTGTCCCCACAGGGCCCTGTGACCTGCCAGGCCCCTCGCTCTGTGTTCCTGGGGCCCTCGGCCAAGGACCACGTGTGTGGGAGCAGACGGTTCTCCCCAGCGGCTCCGACGTCCTCTCAGGCCCTACAGCCGTGTCCCTGCGGGGCTGCGCCAGGCCCTTGCGGCACCAAGAGCAGGCTGGGGTCAGAGGGCACAGGCATCCGGGGCAGGGGGTGGCCTGGGGGCTGGAGATCCTGCTGTGATTTTGCCGGAAGCAGAATCCACTCTGTTCTTTCAAAAACAATCCAAGAAACCCGCTTCCTCTTGCTCCCTGGGCCACAGAGAGTTGGTCCAAACCCAGCCCACTTCCCTCTGGTTCCTGGTGGGCGGGGACCCCTGCCCTCGGGCCACGACCCCAGGCATCTTCGTGCGCAAAGCCCGGCTGCAGGCGGCAAGTGGGTGAACAGACATTCCCATTTCCCTGAGTCCTGCCTCCCTGGGGGCCCGTGTGGAGAAGACATGGAGTCCCCAGAGGCCAGCCCAGGAGAAGGTCTGGCTTAGCCGAGCGTGAGGGCTAGGGCGCTGTGGCCGCTCGAAGGGGGCCAGGCTCAGAGCCAGAGCTCTTCCCGGGCCTCGGCCTGGTCGAAACCGGTCAGAGCCGGTCAGGACTCAGACCTCCTTCTTGCTCATCAACAACCTCTCAGGTTGTTTCTCCGCCCACCCAGTGGCCTCCCTGTGCGAGTCGGGACTTGCTCCCAGCCGGGAGGGGAATGCGCCGAATTCTCTCCCTGTCAGGCTGTTCTTTGTTGGGAGAAGTAGGTGGGAATGAGGGCAATCGGCAGCCTCCCCTTCAGTTGTTTTTCTCCCCGAGCCCGCGGGCCAGGGAGCTGGGACCCAGCTGCGGAGGAGGCGGGCTGCTCTTGGTGAGGGGCGGCGTGGGCTGGAGCCCTGGGGCTGGAGGCCTGCGTCGGTCCCTCTGCGAGGGCCACCTGATTCTCCTCTGGGCGCCCACCCCCAGCCCCGGCTCCCAGGTGCGCCGGTGTCCGCGGCCACGGATGGTTCAGCCGTGACTTCAACCCTGCGACCCACGGAGGCGGCTCCGGGGCTGGGGAGACGGCTGTCCCCGTGCGAGTCAGGTTTAGGGGGGAAAGGAGTGTTTTCTTCTGGGGCTGTTTCACGGGCGATGAGCCAAGCCCAGCGGCTTAGCGGCAGAGGGGGCACTGGGGACAAACAGCGATAGCACCCCCGCAGGAAACGGAGCCCTTGGGGGCGTGAGCCGAGGCCCCGATCTGGCTGTGTCTGAAGCCCCTGCTTCTGTTGCCTTCTTAATTACATGAACTTCTTAATTAAAATAGTTCATGTTTATCTGGCAACCGGGGCCAATGCGAGTCTCCTTGGCTGGTGGACTGAGGTCAAGGAGAATCGTAGAAATAGCCTGGGAACCCTGTTTTTTGGGGGGGAAGGGGCATGTGAGCTTGTCACCAGGTCGCCGGCCTCTGAACACAGCTCTGCCGTGAGACAGGGTGGCAGGGCCCCTGTCCCTGGCCCACAGTGGGCACCACTGAGTGTGGGGGTGGTTGTTTTGGCCACCGGGCGCTGAAAGGACAGAGGGCAGGAGGGCGCAGCGTGTGTGGGTGTGGCTGGACCGGCCGGGGTGAGAGTGTGCGGCGCGGCCGCCCACGCAGGTTTGCCAGGATGGTCCCCAGTCCCCCTGGTGTCCTGGGTTCACGACGGTGAGCGGCTCTTTCAAAAACGCCCTGTTTGATCCGTGACCCGCGTGGCTGCCTGTCATGTCTGCGCCCTGTGCCGTCAGCCTGGAACAGGCCCCGGCGGCAGAGTCGACGGGATTCAGATCGGCCAGCGCCCGCCGGCCGCACGCCCCGTGGTCGGCCACGGCACGAGGCCGGGCTCCCTCCCGGCCGGCACGGCCTCTCGCCGGAGGGCGGGGAGCCCAGAGCACGCCCCCTGGCTTCCTGGCACCCCGACGCCCGGCGTGCCCGGCCTGTGCTGAGGGGCCTGGCCTGAGGTGCAGCCCCTGGAACCGGCCTGTTCTCAGGACGGGCCTCTCCCGGGCCCTGCTCAGGGTAAAGCTTTCACAGTGGGGACAGGGCGGCAGCAGGAGGAGCCTGGCTGCCGCCCAGCAGTAAAGGGGCGCCCGCGGGCTGCCGGCCGCCGCCGGGGGAGTCAAACCCGCTGTGACTCAAACCCTTCCCCAGCCGGCAGCAGTCCCCACCCCGCACCTTTGTCCGACCAGCAAATAAAACAGCCCGGCAACACCACCCAGCCACACCCTGGGCTCGCAGGCCGCCCGCGAGGAGGGCGCGGGCCCAGACTCTCTTACGTGACCCTCTCTGCGGTTCTCTGCGGCGCAAATGTGCCAGATTCCAGCCCCGGTCGGCGGCTGGTATGTGGAGGCAAGAGGTTAGTAAGTGCGAGTGTGCGTGTTCTGTGCGTCGCGTGGACTCTGCCTGGGAGCGCAACGCACCGCGGGAGCCCAGCCACTGTTCACGGGTTTGCGTGTGTCTTGCTTTGTTTATTTTTTAATCTTCTTTTACTGGTTGATTTTAGAGAGCAAGGAAGGGAGAGAGGGAGAGAAAGGTCGATTTGTCCTTCCACTTATGGGTGCCTTCCTTGGTTGGTCCTGACTGAAGATGGAGCCTGCAACACTGGCGTACAGGGACGACGCCGGAGCCAGCTGAGCGACCCGGCCAGGGCCCATGTGCGTGCGTGCGTGCGTGCGTGCATGTCTTTTGTAACTCCTCACACTAGATACTCAAATGCAAAGCCTGGTGCCTGTCATGTATTTTTATACCTAACAAGCCCCCCTCACCCCTTTCTTTGCCTCCCTCACCAGTGCATTTAAAACAGACTTATTTCTAGAGACACTTAATAAACGCTGTAAATGGACAAAAATAAACCCCAGCCCCAGCCCCAGCACGCAGCAGGCGCGCCTGGGAGCCTGGCTCGCTGAGGCTGAGTGAGAGAGGCAGGAGGCTGGGCCCGGGAGGGGCCCGCCCCGGGCACTCACCGCTGAGCCCGCTCCAGGTGTACACCCCCAGCGGCCCCAGGAACGTCTGATAGGGGTTGCTGATGCTGTTGTAGAAGGTGAACCCAGAGCTCAGCAGCGTGGTGGACAAACTGAGGGCCAGAAACACGATAACCACCGAATGCAGAGTCTTGGGGGAAGAATCGTCCAGTGTCCCTAAAACTGAAACAAAGTTGGGTAAGGACTTAGTACAAGATGCAAATACCCGCCCCGGGTCCGAGGCGACTCACACATGCCCGGCGTTCCGGCACGTGCTGCTCCGGAAGGTACCGGGTGAGAGCCGGTCAGGCGTCTCTCGGGCCTGCAGGGACTGGAGGGAGCGGGACCCGGGCACCGCCGCACGTCCCCCCGAGGCGGGTCCTCGGGCCCCAGGCCGGAGAGCAGCGCCCGGTGGGAGCCGCCCCAGTGCTGAGTCCCCCAGGAGAGCCTGCGCCCTCCGTGGAGAACTGCCGCAGGCTGCGCGGCCTTCCCTCGGGACCGGCCGGCCCCAGACCCCGGCCAGAGGGCGGTGCACAAATTCACCGGGGCACCGAGTGTTTCCGCTTGGAGACATGGACGGGGGGCCACCCTGCACCCCCACGGCCGTGAGGACCCGCCACACCCTGAGATTCCTGAGGTGCAACACAAAGCTGGGGTGGCCAGGAGGGGACAGGCTCACGGAGGTGACAAGGCAGGCGGCGAAGCCTGGCCCTGACGAGAGGGAAATGCCTGGTGCGTGTGCACATTGGGGCGGCAGCCCCACTTCCCCCGCCTGACGTCCCTGGAGCCAGAGAGACCCCAAAGCGCGTGCGGCTCGAGTGAGGAGCGTGGCCCTTGGGTGGGCCATTCGATTCCTTTCTGAGCCGAATTCCTCTGCGTCCTAACAATGTGTTATAAAACGTGCCCATTTCTGAGGCACAGAGGAGCTCTGGACAGGACCATGCACCTCTGTCGGCCGAAGCCCGGGCTCCCTCCCGCTTCTAACCCCGCCCCCCACTCCCCTTCCCCTCAGTGTTTCCCCGGCTCGCCCCTCGGTCAACAACGTGAAGCGGCCAGCCCGGCCGAGCCGTCCCCACGCCCACCTGACCCCCCACCCCTTGCCGGGCCTCTCCAGGGCTGCCAGTGCGTCCCTGGCCCTCAGCAGGTGCCGCTAGGTTACATAACGTGTTTGCCAAGAGGTGCGTGAAAGTCACGCCGACGTAGGGCTAAGCGATTCAGCGAAAAGATTTCCGAGTCCACAGTAAGGTGCTAACGGAGTCATCGGGAACTGCCGGGTGTAAGAACCACGGCGCGGGTCGGGGAGAGAAGGCCCGAGCCTCCGTCTCCATTCTTGCCTCGCGGGCCCCAGGGAGGAGCCAGAAAGGGCCCAGGAGATTCTTGCCTGGGCGCGGGGGCCGGTGCTCCTTCAGCCCTGCCTCGTGCTCCGCAGTCTTTCCAGGAAAGAGGGGTCCTGGGAGCTAGAGGAGACCCCAGGGTTCTGAGCGCGTCGGTGGGGCTGCGGGGCCTCCCCCGCACGGTGTCCGGCCGCGAGGAGCCCGCTCGGTGCGAGGCGGCCCTTTCTGTCATCCCTGTGCCGCCTTTCTCGTTTGCAAGTCCTTCTTTGCGTTGCACCCCAATTGGCATCGCTGCGACTTCCGTCCAGGGTGCTCCTGTGCCCTTCGGAGCAACGCAGAATCCGCGGGCGCCCGTCCGGCCAGGCCCCGCCCGATGCCGGGAGAGGGTTACAAACCCCAGCCGGACTGACAGCCCACGTCTCCAGAACCTGAGTCCGACGCCGCTCCCCGGAGCGCGCCGCCCGGCCGCCGCACGCCCCGCCGCTCCCTGTTTCTGACGTCTGCACTCTATCAGTTCAGGTTTATAAAGGTCCGCGGTCCCCTAGGAAGGGGACTGTCGTTGGCCGGACAGCGGGCATGAAAGAGACTGGCCGGCAGGCCTGTCCTCGATGTCGGGGTCTCGTAGCGAAGACCCTCAGGCAGAGAGGGACGTCATCCTGATGGCCACAGCCACACGTGACCCTAGGGAGAACGGGGAGTGTGGGCAGGGACCCCGGGACCGGCCGCGAGAGGACGCACAGGCTGAGGGGAAGCAGGAGGGTGTGGCAGCGAGGGCAGGAGGAGACAGAAAGCGGCTGGAACGAAAGGGCGGGAAAAGGGGAAGTGGCTATCGCCACAGGAAAGCACAGCCACCGACCCTTAAAGCCCCAGGGGAGACTAGAGGAGACAAAGGCGGGAGTCTCAGCCCATCACCTTGGAGAGGGCAACCTCGCCACCCGGGGCCACAGCCCACCTCCCGTGTCCCGCCCGCCGGCCCCGGGCGGCCGGAGCTCCTTCCCCATTTCTGTCACCGACCCGTGACCCGGTTAAATTCTCGGCACAGCCCTCCTCGTTGGGTGATCTGGTTACACTGAAAATGTCGTCCTGCCTGCAGCGCAGGTGGGGGTGGGTGGGGTTCGGGGGGGGGGGGGCTGCCCGTCCTCCGGGGGTTGGGCTGCCCGCCTGGGACGGGCAGGGACCTCGGGCTGCGCCCCTTGCTTCTGTCTGGCTCAGGCCAGGCCTGCAGCGACTCGGGGCTCCTACCGCTCTGCACTAGCACACGCCTGTTGGAAACGTGTAGAAGGTGACACCGGACAGTGGGAAGGGGAAGCGGCAGGACGCAGGTGACCCACCGGGCAGGTCAGGGCTCGGGTGCCCCGGCACAACAGGAGCCGCTTCCCGCCCGGCCTCCCGCGGGCACCGGAAGAGGGCTGGGGGCCAACGCGCCCCCCGCTCCCCCCGCACTTGGCAAGAAGAAACTGTGTGGATCTTCACTGGACAAAGGAAGCCTCTGGACGGGAACTGTCCGGTGGCCCAGGCACCCTGGCAAACTGCTGGGCCTTACAGCCGGGAAAGCGGTGTTTGTCCGCAACTGGCGAACGTTCCACTTTTTTCCGAGTAAATTAGAAAGTGACAATCAGGCTTGGCTTTGTCTCTGTGGGTAAGATCCAGTAGACATGATTTTTCAAAAGGGAGTCAGCTTGGAGCCTGATGACTCATACTTTCCTGTGTATCAACGTGACAATTTATCTTCACAGCCATATTTTAAAATTACATTTTGGCATTCTGCGTCCCTTGCCACGCAGGTGTGACAGCCGTATGTCCCCTCCCCGGCCTGACTCAGAGCTCAGACAATGAAGCCGGAAGTGCAGAGAAAGTTAGCCAGAGTGAGATGACAATAAAAGCGCAGAGCATCTGACAGCTGGTCTCTGCCTACAAAATTAGCAAATACATGCCGTTCTTTTTCTTCCTTTTAGGGGCCAAGCTTTGGAGTCAGGAAAAGCGCCTCCCAATCAGAACTAATTGCCTGGATTTGGGCCGCCCCGGAAGAGCGGCCAGGGCTGCGCGGCGGGGCGGGGGCGGGCGCGGGCAGCCGGCGCGCTGGGCTCGCTCTGGTTTTCTGTAAGTCGCTGAAAGTCGAGAGAGGTGGTGGTGGCTTCGGGGGCGGGTGGGCACTGCCTCTTCCCTCTCTAGCACCCGATCGCGAGGGCGCAGGACCTGGTGGGCTTCTCAGTCTGTGGACCACAGTGTCCCGTGGGAGGAGCTCGTCAAGTCCCCCGATCCCAGAGCGGGGGCCGTCCCAGCTGGTGTCCCCACACTCTTGGAGAGTTACCAGGGTTCCCTTGAGCAGAGGGCAGTGATGCCTTCCTGCCCCCTGATGCTCCCCTTCCCTCTGTGTGTGGTCACGTCTCGGCGGGCACATGCTGAGTCGCTCCTCCCCAGGCCCGTCTGGGAGACGGACAAGATGGGGCTTCCTGTAGAGAAATAAACCCCACTTGTCCTCCTTGCAATTAATTGATTTTTGCAGCAGGTTCTCTTTCCAAATTGTTTTTGGCTGAGGGTGGTTGTACCATTTCGAGCGCCCCAAAGACAGACAGGGGCAGGCGGAGCCAGGCCTGGGTGAAACTCCCGCTCGCCACCGCAGGCGCCCGCACGCTGCTGCGCCCTGCAGCTCCCGTGGGCTGCTGGCCTTAGCTGACACGACGTCTTTCTCTAGAAAGTCTCGACGGCGGGTCCACCGAGGCAGGGCGCTGTGTGCAGGCCTGCTCAGTACCTGAGCTCGCGTTCACGCAGCAGCTGCTCAGGGGGTGTTTTTGAACTGAAATGAAATATTCGGAGCTTCGGAAGCGGCCGAGGCAGCATGCTGGCCGGCGGGCTCGGGGCCGGTCGCTGCTCTCCGGGGGTGGGGCAGCCCGTCGGAGGCCGGCGGGCCTGCTGTGCCCGAGCAGCCTGGTTTCACAGGCCCGACTCATGTTCCCCCCGCCTCCCCTGCCCGTAACCCGGCGTTGACTGAATTATTCTGGCGCTTTCAAATCAGCCATCATCACTTCGTGTCAGAATCCACAGCCCAAATTGGCACAGTGTGACGCACCCTGTGCAGAAATAGAACCGAGCTTTGCCGCCTCCGTCGCTCCTCGGAGATTTCCAATGTGACCTCCTGTGAGCCACGCTAACAGGGTGGACCCATCACCGCGGGGCAGGGAGGTGGCGTTTGTGCAGGTTTTCGTACGCGGCCAGCGATCGGTTCCTGACTTGAGGTAAGGCCCGAGCAGTCAGGTGACACCAGCAGGATCTCAGCCGTGTCTCCCTGGGTCGTTGAGGTTCTGCTGTCTTCGGGGAGCGCCCGTGGGCCTGCGGCAGCCAGGCCCCATGAAGTACCGGCGAGGTGCACGCCTTTTCCCGTTTCTGCAGAGGACTGTGTACAAGTGTCCCAAGTCCAGCGGTTGCTGGAGCCACTGCAGTGAAGCTGCTTTGGTATCAACCAGAGTAGCCTGGGTGGCACCTTCATGATGGGACCTGGTGTGTCTTGCCCAGCACCTGGAGGCTGACCGGGATGAGGGGGTCGGAATGCGGCTCCCGGGGAACGAAGGGCACAGGGAGAGCCCCGCAAAGCAAGTGCCGAAGTCCCACCTTCCTGGAGCTCCCCCTTCGCAGTGGGAGCACACCTGGTCCTGCCGCCCCCTGGCCTGGCCCTGACCACGCCGTCCGGTCACCTCCACGCTGCCAAGGCTCCATGGCCCGTGGGGGCCCCTGGGCAGGGCTCCGGGAAGCCTGGTACCGCAAACCGGAACCGCTGGTTCCAGACGCTCTGAAACTCAAAAACTTCACAGGACGTTACCGGCCATTTAAAAATCCCTCGGTGTGTCTGGAAGTTTAGAACCTGGCACACGTTTCGGTTTTGAGAATGCTAGTCATGTCACCGAAAGCGCGACCGTGCCTTTGAAGGCCTCCTTTTCCAGGGGTGTTCCTGGGAAGCCGTGCTGGTCCCGGGGGGTGGGGGGGCGCCCTCCGGCTGAAGCTGCGGGGGAGACGCCGCTCCTGCTACCATCTAAAAGACAGGCTTGTGACTGGGAGCTAGAGCCGTATTGCTCGGGGTTTAAGGACGCTGTTTCATTAAGAAGGTCACAAGCAAGACCTAGAACCTAGAGCGAGAACAAAAGCTCAGGCTGCTACCGTGATGCATTTGGGGAGGACTCAGTGCCACATGGTATCAGGTAGGAAGTGGTGCGCACGTAGGAGTGAGGGGGCGAAGACGGGGCAACACCTCACGATATCTCGCCCGCCCATGTGAACGACACTGCGCAAAGCAAAACCCGGGCAAGGTGCTAAATAATCTACCCATGTTGCTTTCCGATTGAGAAGACACAATGGTATATAGTCACACCTCGGAAGTCAAACAAGGAGCTAATTCAGCTTCTCAGTCTCAACACCAGCGGTCGGCTGCAAGACAGTGTGATGTATGAGGTCAGAAAAACTCAGGAGTTCCTGTCCTATTAATATAAAATTAATAGAACCAATGGAAACTTACTGCCATGCCCAGCAGCAGTGGGCATTTCAGAGGTAAAAAGGCAAACGCAAATGGGTCAAAGAAATGAGCTTGAGAGCCAGGAACAGCACACTTTATCTTTTCCACTTTATCTTTGCCTCTGTCGGTCGCCACTGAAGCTCCAGAAAGGGCCTGTTGCTGCAGCTAAAAATCCATAGTCCAGACCCTTGAACAGGGCGCTCCTGTTGGCCGACGGGCACCGTATTGCTGCTGCCTGTTTTCTGTAATCGCTTACTTGTCCACACACCCAGCGGCACCGCTTACCTGTAGCCTCTTTTAGGGCGATTCAGGCCATCGCACTATAGACACAGCCAGACGTGAGGAAGCAGAAGGAAAGACGCAGCGCTGCCCTTGGGGACAGATACTCAAAATACAAATACTAAGGGAGGGAAGCGAGGCCGATCCAGCCTCTGACCCCGGAGACTTCATCCCCAGGACACCAGAGAGGTGTTAAAGGGATTTAGGGACGAGAGTGATTAGATTAGCATGTTAGAAAGCACACTGTGAAGAATAGATTTGAAGCCAGCAAGACTGGGGACAAAGAGATAGGTTAGAGAAACCCAAGGAGGAGCTGGTGGTGGCCTGAATTCCTGTGGCCACTCTGAGGACAGCAGAAGGGGGAGACTCAGTGTGAAGGAGGGAGAATCGTCAGGACTTGGGGTTCCCTGACTGTACGTCCTCCCTTCCCAGCCGAGGGGAAAGCTTCGGAAGAGCAGAGCCTCTGAAGAAGCACGCACCTTTGTATTCCGCCGAGTTTCCTGCCCCCCCGGTGCTTACCAGTAGACTAGGCATTCGATAACTATTTGTTGAATTAATAGAAAAAATGTAAATATGAAATTTGAACAGATACGACGCATATTGGATGGCATGAGTCTTACCCAGTTAATTTGCTCTCACTACCCCCATTCAAAGCCGTCTCTCACTTACCTTCAAAAGCTTTGTCTCCTTCCCCAAGCCCACCGCTCAGCTCTTGGGTGCTCCGGCCACGAAAGAGTCCGTAGGTGATGATGATGCTGCCGTTGGAAGAAGAAACGCTAACAGCGATGGTGCTGCGCACCCATTCGTGGGTGCCCAGCATGGCGCACACCCCCACGAAAGCCCCGAAACTGGTCAAGAAGCTCGATAAGAACGTCAGTGTTTTCTTTGTCGTTGGCATTTTCCAGGGGGGAGAAAAAAGATCTTTCGATGATAGTTTTGGACCTTACCATTTGGGGTCCAGAATTTAGAAATGGAGTCTAATCCTTTGCTGTAAAGTATAAGAGCTTGCTCTTCAGAGGAAGAATTATACAAATGAGCATTGGACTATGAACGCGGTCATAAAGATTTACAGTAGCTGAACTTTGGTCTGCAGTGAGTAATTGCTATGGTTACAGCCAACCAGCAGGAACAAGGGGTGGGCATGATGACCCCAAGTCCTCCTCAGTCACACAATTAATCTATGACTCTTTGGCAAGTGCCCTAGAAGCACGTTCAGCTGTCATGACAGGGCAGGACTAGAATTTCTAAATAAGGAGGAAGCAGGGGATCTGAACCCCCTACATGTTGCTGATTCTGGCACCCAACAGCATAAAGTCTCACCTCAGGCCTGAATCGCTTTCCCGGTTGACTTGAACCTAACAACCACTCCAAAAGGAAACCCTAAAGAGAGTAAGCCTTTGCTGAATGGGCCATGGAGTGGTCTTTTGTAAATTGTCACCTAACGTCTTGAAATTGCAACTTTTATGCCTTCCTTGCTGAGGAGTAAGTTTGTAAAATAATTATGTGATTGCTTCTACTTTTAATATTTATTTCTGCTGTTTCTATTTTTTTATTATTTCTTTCTTTCTGTTTTGTTATTTATATCTGCTTTTTGGTGATTTTGGTCAAAGAATGGGGTGTTACAATATTTACTCTTTGGATTTTATTGATTTCTTTTGTAGTCAATCGATAAGCCACTTTTATAAATGTTTGCAACATTTTTTATCACTTGATGCTATTCAATTTTATATATCCACGATCATTCATTTAACAAAATTCCATTTCAGACACTTTAACTATTACTAATTTTTTTGTTCACATAAACTTGCTTGGATACAGATTAATTACAGCCTTAGGATGAATTCCTAGAAAAGAAAGACGGTTTTGGATTTTGAATACCAAATACAAATTGGCGTCCAATACATAATCCCACTAGCAATGTTTAAGAAAGTTCTATGTTCTATAGTGCTGGAAAATTCTGGCTGTTAAGTTTTTAGATTGTGACCAGCTTTACAGGTAATAGTGCATTCTGTTACAATTTTGCAACCTGCTTTTCTGCCACAATAGTTTTGCCTTTTCTCAAATTTCATAGCAATGGCATATTATAGTATATAGTCTTCTGCATCTGGCTTTTTTTTTGTCATTTATCTGTATCCACCAGAATTCATGTATCCATCCGACGGTTGATGGATATTTGAGTAGATTCAAGTTATGGACTATTATGAATGAAGTTGTTATGCACATTTGAGTACAAGTCTTAGTGTAGATTTATGCTTTCTTTTCTTCTGGGTAAAGATGTAGGACAGAAAGTGCTGGGACATATAGTTAGTATATTTAAATTTAGAAGGAACTGACAAAGTGTTTTTCCAAAGTGGTGGCACCAGGGCGCATCCCCGCTGGCAATGAATGGGGTTCCAGTTGCTCCACATCCTCTTGAACATGCGCTACCATCAGTCCCTTAAAATCTGCCATTGTGAGTGCTTAGTAGTAGCTCACAATGGTTTTGATTTGCATTTCACTCTATGAATGGTGCGGGACACCTTTTAGTATGCTTTTTGTCATGCATATACTTTTTTTGGTGAAGTATCTCTTCGAAAGCTTTATTTGTGAAATGTAGTCACTTAACCTAGATACACATTGTATAGATTGTTCTGTATCCTTTTTTTTTTCTCATTCATAGGTTGTCTTTGCCATCTGCCCATTCAGTTCATTGCAGGGAAATTTTTCTGTATCATGTCCCTGAGCCGTGGGCTCCATTTGTTGAACTCTTACCTTCAGGTACACCAGCTGCCCTTGTGTTGGGTTATCTTTAACCTCTGTCTCACCATTTCCTCTCTAATTGCTTTCGTCCCTTTATCTTTTCTCTCTGTACTCACTGTTACTTCCCTCCAAAGTGTAAACCTTTCTGAGAGAATTGGGGATTGTTAAAACTGACGTATAAGTAGCACAGACCATCAGTTTGACGTGTACAACATAATTATTCGATATTTGCACACACTGAAGAGAGCACCACAAGAAGTCTCGTCAACGTTGTCACCATATGTAACTATAATTTTTTTCTTGTGGGGAGAATTTTCACTGGATGGACTTAACAGAAAAGCAAGCACTGTAGCAAAAAAGAGCAGTACCTTTATATGTACAGCAATAAACATGATCAAAACTGAAACAGAAAACAAAAAAGGCTTAACAGTTTAAAGAGCGTCAGTGACCTATGGGTCAATCTTAGTGACATCACAGGCGTATAATTGGAGTCCCAGAAAGGGGGAAGGTGAAAGACATTTTTGAAGAAATAATGGCTGACAAATTTCCAAATCTGATGAAAGGTGTAAACTAATAAAGCAAGAAGCACAACTAATTCCAAGTGTGGTAGACGTAAGGAAGGCCACGCTAACACACATTGGAATTAAATTTCTATTAAAAAAGCAATGATGAGGAGAAAATCTTAAAAGCAACTAGAGAAAAACGATACAGTACCTAAACTCCTGGCACAGGCAATAAAACACGAATCTCAAAAAGGTTTTGCCGTGTGAAAGCAACTAGCAATGGAAGAGCCCACACTGCGCATTTCCATGTACAGGGTGACGCAGCTCAGGCGAAACAGACGTCACGACAGTGGTGGAAGTGGGGGATCTCCTGGGAAGGGACAGGAGGGAACTTTCTGGAGCGATGGAGATGTTTCGCATGGTGAGCGGGAGACGGAGGTCTCTAGTCTCATATTTGCCTCTCCTCATGACACTGCACTGAGGGTCTGCGTAAGGCATGCATATCATCTGTAACGGTACGTGACCCAGGAAGGAAGGGAAAGGGTTAAAATGCCAAGGGGACCCAGCGGAGAAAACAAGCCTCTGTCTCGCTGGGACAGGACAGGGATCTGCTGTCCTGGTGCCCGTCCTCTTGGGTTCTCTGGTTAATGGCCGCTCAGCCCCGGGCATCCCTTGGCACCGGGGAAAGGGGAACAATCCTTGAGCAAGATCAAAATAGAAAGTTCTGGCCCCATTAGAGCCATTCATTCCGGCACGTTCTAGAGGCCAGGACAGCCATGCTGAGTTTGCTCTCTGTGGGGACAGGTCCCGACGTCAGTTTTTCCGTGCTGGCCGCGCCCCGCAGCGCATCCGTTGCCAGAGCTGGATGCCTGTCCCGGAGTGGTAGCGTGTTAGCGATCCCGTGCAGGGTTTAAAACCAGCTCCGGCTGGCTTTCTACAAACCCACGTGCCTTTTGGCTTAGCCTCCTGGAGAGCATGTCTGGCCGGAGCATTTTAATTTTAATTGACGTCTACAGAGCCCTTAAAGCGCAAGGAGCATTAATTATCTGGGTTATCCCGAAGGAACCCAGGTAGTAACAGTCACAGGAAAACAGTCTCCCACCGCACTTTAAAGGGAAGAGGTCGCAGGGCTTGGCGAAGAGCAACCAGGACAGACGGACGGCAGAGCAAGGCCAGGGCGGGGTTCCACAGGGGTGCACAGGCTCAAGGGGACGCTGCAGACTGAACAAGGGCTGGGCCCCTACAGGGCAAGGGGGGGCTAGAGGCTGGGGGGGGGGGTCCTCAAAGCCCAGGACGAGAACAGGGAACCCCTGACATCAGCAGGGGCCTCGAGCTTGCGAGCAGCTGAACGAGGTGGTTGGGCAGGATCCTGGGCGCCGTATGGAAACCAACACAGGTCCGCTTCCGTGTGGCCGTGACGAATGTCCTTGGATCTAGATAAAGTTGAGGGACAGTGCCGACTTCCTGGAAGAACCTTTGGGCCCCGCAGAGAGGATGTCGCCGGGAGAGAGGCGCCGTCTGCCCCTTGTCATGTTACCAGAGCTGTCGGCTTTCCAAACAGCAGATGTCTGACAAAGGCGATGTGTCTCTCTCCTGGGTCCCCGCAGGGCTAAAACAAGCAGAACTGTGTTCATCAGAGCTGTGAAATGATCCCCTTCGCCTTCAGGAGCCTGGCCCTGCAGGGACCCCGGAGAGAGAAACCCAGAGCTGTGTGACGTCACTGGGCTACCTGGTCCCCCAACCCGGGGATCCTTGGGGGCTGCTCAGAGGGGGCCGCCCTCCCAGCTGGGCTCCAGGGAGAGAGGGGCTGCCAGCGGGGGCTCCTCCTCCTCTCCTCTGTCAGCCCACATGCTCTCCCTGAGCAAGCCCCCCCGCCGCCCCGGCTCTGGGCGCTGTGTCCAGAGCTCTAGACAGAGCCGCGATCGGGGGAGCCAAGTCTGGGAGCGCACAGCACTGGGGGAGGGGCAGGAGAAGGGGATGGGGCGGGCTGGCACCAAACAGGTGACTACACCTTGAGGGAGTCCAGAGAATCTGTAAGAAGGCAGGGGCCGGTACAGAGGGAGAAGACCCACTCCCCACCCCCACCCCCGCCCCCGCTGGGACATGCTTGTCTCTGATTCAGAGAGAAGGGGCTAAGGGCTGGCACACCATGAAGGGGGAGCAGCGGGGGGTGGCTCAGGAGCAGCTAAGTTGTCAGGCAGAGCCCCCCAGGAACCTGGGTTCTGTTCTGAAGGAAGGCTCTCAGGCAGGGCGCCGGCACGACCTGGTTTCATTTTAAGGGTCCCCCAAATGGTGTGTGAGGAAGGGGTCATTTGGGAAAGGCTGAGTCTGACGTTGGGGGACCACCGCCATCATCAGAGAGATGACGGCCGTGGACGGGGAGGAGGGGACACATTCAAGAGGCACTGGGCAGCTAGGCAGCAGTGCCCTGGGAGATGCTCAGAGGCGGCGGTGAGGCGGAGACCAGGGGCCTGTGCGGAAGCCGAGAGAGAGGGCATGAGCCTGGCCTGGGCTGCGGAGACGCCCCTTAGGGCGGCCGCCTGGCGAGGAGTCCCCAGGGGCCGAGCTCTTGTGGGTTCCCCACACGGAGATGGTGTCTGAAGCCCCGGCGTTAGATGAGACCCCCGAAGGACAGTGCGCTCGGCCCCGGGGGAAGCTGAGTTCAAGTTCTACACCGGTTTCACGGCTCTTTACGCCCTGGGGAAGGGACACCGAACCGTGGACAGGTCATCTGTGGGGGTCTCAGCCAGCCGACACCCCTCGCCCTGCAGTCTTTGGGGAGTGCAGCTCTGTCGCCAACTGTCTCAGGAGCTGCCTGACAGGCGTGGCAACGACCAACCGCCGTTTGCGAGCCCTGATGAGCGAGGCTCCTGGGGCGGGGTGTCGTCTCACCCGTCCTGAGAGCCGAGCCTCGGACCGGCCCGGAGGGCACTGCGCAAAGGTGCAGAACTGAGGCGGAGCCCCACGCGTCCTTTCTGTCCCTCTGCTGGAGTCTCCCTCCCCGCAGCACTCCCCAAACAGCTTACAGGGGGCCGCCTGGAAAGCAGTCCCAGAGCAAGCAGGCGTGTCTCACTTGGCCACCTACTGCCTTATTGACGAGTAAGCCCTTCTCAGCATCCGTCAGTGGGCCCCTTATTTGGAGGAGGGCGCAGGCCTGGGATGGTTCACGGTCTCCCCACTTCTCTGAACCAGGAGCGGGCTGGGGTGCCCTGTCCTGACTGCACGACCCCCAGCCAAGCCACTTCCTGATGCCCAGTGCCAGTGTTGGGGGGGAAGGGCCTTTCCCCGCTTGGAAGAGTGCCTGTCACACCACGACCCACTCCACGCGCGCATGGGTCCCGGCAGAGCGGCCCAGCCGGGTCTCGCGGAAGGGGAACCAGCCCGGATCAAGGGATCTCCAGGATGGCCGGGTGCCACGGGCCTCAGGCCTTCCTCCCTGCCGGGCGGGGCCGAGGCCTCAGGTGGGGAGGGCTCCCGGGTGCGCTCCCAGCGCCGGACACCAGGCGTCGCCCCCGCTCCTCGCAGCGCCGGGCCCCCGCCCCCGCCTCCGAGCCGGGGCTGGAGCTGGAGCTGAGGAGGCGGCGGGACCCGGCCGGACAAATTTCCTGCTCCGCTGCGGGAGGCGGGCGGCAAGGGTGCGGGCAGCAGGAGGCGGCGCTGCGAACCCGCGGCCTCCGCGCGTCCGCGCTACCCTCCGTAGCGCCCGGCGGGGCCAGAAGGGCGCCCCAGAGGGCGGCGGGCGAGCGCCCGGGAGATGCGGAGTCGCCGCGGCGGCGGGATCGGCACCCTGGCACCGGCGCCCCCGAGGTGAGCGCGCGCGCGGGGTGCGGGCGGGGTGCGGGCGGCGCGGGCGCGCCCCTGCTGGTGGCCGTGCGACCACGGCGGCCGGAACAGGCCGGGGACGCTGCCTCGGCCGCCGCCGCGGGAGGGAGGGGCCGCGCCGGAGTGCCGGGTCCCCGAGCCGGGTCCCTGCCGGCCCGCGGCGGCCCGGTGCGGCGCGGCTGGGGACCGCGCGACCCCGGGCATTGGCCCTCGGAGCCCCAGCCCAACTTGGCGACACATCGGCAGCTCTCGCGCTGGCTCTCGGTAAACGGGCCAGCAGAGCGTGTGTCTGCCGGTGGCAGCGGTGCCAGGGGGACGGCGACAGGGACGTGTGTGGAAGCGGGCGAGCCCGAGAGGGGGTGCCCGCGGGTGTGCTGGGCTACGAGCTCGCCGGGACCCGGACAGGAGCCTTTTGAGAAAGTGGCTCGGAGTTGCGCCAACTCCGGAGGGGCGGGAGCGGCAGCTGGGATGCTGCCCGGTGGTCTCGCGCCCCGTGCTCTCCGGGCGGGCGCGGGGAGCCCAGGCCCGTGCGGCTGGGGGCTCAGGCTGGGTGGGGGGCAGGCCCGGCTGTCCCAGGCGGACTGCCACGATTTGCAGGGTGGCCAGGGTGACCTGTGGCTGATGGGTCAGTGCGGTGCCAAGCCTGCGGGCGCCTGGGGACCATCTGGGGAAGCCCAACTGCAGCCCACAGGATGGAGAGGCAGGGCCAAGCCCTGCGTGACCTGCTGGCCTGACCTAAATTTCTTCCTGGCGTGGCAGGCCTTTCTGGAAAGGTCGGACAGTGGTGCTTGCAGTTATGACACTGACTGCCTTGGAGGAGGACCCCCTCTCAGAGCCCCAGCTGGGGAAACCGAGGAAACGAGACGGGCCTGTGCTTCCGTTTATTTATGTTTGGAGTGGGAGATGGCTGGACACCAGCAAAGATGGCCCCGTGCTTTGGAGCCATTGTGTCCCTGTCCAGTCTGCTCTTGACCTCGGGTGCCTGGTGTTTTTCTGTCCCCAAGGGGGGTGAACTCACGTTACCTCTGCAACATAAAGACCCACGTCTGTTTAAACTCTGCATGTTTGAGCCGTGGGAGGTGCCTCTCTAAAAGCCAGTGCAGTAAGCCAAAAGGGGGTACAAAATGGTGGGGTACAGGCAGTGCATATATAGGGTACATGTACCCCACAAAATGGTGGGGTACAGGCGATGCATGTATGGGTTACATGCACCCCCCAAAATGATGGGGTACAGGCGATGCATGTATGGGTTACATGCACCCCCCAAAATGGTGGGGTACATGAGGTACAGGTATGTGGTGCATGCACCCCACAAAATCGTGGCATACCTGCCGTGCATGTATGTGGTACCTGCACCCCGCAGAGGTGTGGGGTGCCTGTGGCGGCCCAGGCTGGTGTGCGGCAGAGCTCTGAGCGGGAGCAGGGCAGGCTTCGGGCTTCCTGAGCAAAGGGCCCAGTGCTTCAGGGAGCAGAGGGCCACGTGGCAACAGGCAGCCCAAAAGCGGGGGCCGTCTGTCAGTGAGAAGGGCCCACGGTGGCTCCGCCTCTGACCGTGACCCCAGGCGGGGGACAGAGGTCTTCGTCCTCAGCGGCGTTTGTTGTTAGTGATGCCCGTGAATCAGCCCCCGCGCTCCGCCCACCCCAGGCCCTGCCTGTGTGCACGTGGGACAGGGACTAGATTTGTCTCCGAGAAGGCCAGGTGGTCGGATGTCCCCGGGGGCCACTTGTCACTCCCGCGGAGGGAGGCTGCCGGGAGATGTGCTCCCTGGGCCGGTGTCGCCACGGAAGCGGGAAGGCGCTGACCCGGGGGGGGGACCCCGGCCCTCCTGGACTCCCGCGGAAGTTCCTCGACCCTGAGAGAGGCTGGGGGGCGCACGGGGGTGTGGAGGGCGTGCTCGGGCGCCGCAGGGGAGGTGGATGAGTGAGAACCCAGCTGCAGTGGACAACGGGTCAGCAATGGAGCTGAAGCGTGAATGTCCACTGGTCACGCCACACGCCGCCCCCCCTGGTCTGCCTGGCCGTGCCCCACTGCCACTGCCGCAGTCCCAGGCACGCCTTTCACCGGCGTCCGCCGCCCCACAAGTCCGAGCTGCACTTCTAACCCAGACTGCCCTCTGCGAGTCTCATGCCAGCTGCTGCCCCCTTCACGTTTCTCCTGGGATTTCAAATGCGCCCCGCTCAGCGGGCCCCGAATCAAATGTGTGATCTCCGCCCACTCAGCCCCTCGCTTTCCCAGTAGTTTCTTTAGCCGCCTCCGGGCCGCGGCTGCCAGCCTGCCCGGCGAAGGTACGCTGAGTCGTGGTTCCCGGAGGACAGGCCGTGTCCTCAGCGCCCAGCCGAGGAGCTGACAGTGGGCGCGTGGTCGCTGCCGTTGCAGAGATGATCGAGTGAGGAAGTGAGACATTGTAGGTACGCGTCTGCCGGAGCAGATGAGCTGGTGTATTTTTAGTGGGTGCCAGCGTGGTTGGGGGGGGCAGCCAGCCGTTGTGGTCGGTGTGGACTGAACTGCATCATGGAGACGTGAGGGGGTCTGTCGCGGGGTTGTGCTGCCAGCCCTTCTGGGGAGGCCGAACGCATCTGCTGAGATGACCGAGCCGGACCGCAGGGCCGCCAGGGACCTGCTGCGGAGGCAGGTGTGGGGCCGCGAGGAGGCGCGCCGCAGCTGCCCTCCGCTCTGCTCCTGGGTGCGTCTCTTTCATCTCTAGCTTTTGAGTTGTACGTACCCCGGGCTCTGCTGTCAAAACAGGAACGAATGTATCCATTAGGATAAACACTGGCCTTCTCCCGTGTGATTATCACCAGGGAAAAACTGGGTGTTCCAAGAGCATCTCCAGTCTTTGGGCGTGCGAGCTCCTTGTGAACCCAAGGCTCGGAACACCCCGAAGACGCCCTTATAGATCCTCAGGGGTAGAGCCTGCTCAGCCCCCTGCCCCGAATCTCCTTCCCCTTTATCTCCAACTTAGGGACCCCGCTCATACCTCTGGGCCCACTTCAAACGCCTCAGTCTCCACAAAGCCTCCCGACCCCTCCACCGAAGAAAGCCGCTCTTGCTTTATAGTTCCTTTCAGTGCCTGTCCTGCAGCGCTTACCAAACTCGATTTTGATTTCCAGTCGACGGGTTCAAATAGTTGGGAGGGAAGGCGTGCCCCTGAGGGTCTGGATGCAGGTTTCAGGTATGGATCCACCTAAGCCCTGGCCCTGGGGGGCTTGGGCCGAGCTGCTCAGAAGCCACGCCGCAGCATTGTCTCTTCTACCGCGGGAGCTCTACCCGCTCTTCACACGGCCGCTGTGAGGGTGGCTGATGACACAGAGCAGGTGCAAGGCCTGTGCCTGGCACTCAGGGGACCGCGGCAGTCACCCCCCTGAGACACCGAAGGCTGCGAGCTGCGCGCGGTCAGAACCAGAGAAGTTGGAACAAATGAGGGAGCAAAGTCAAAATCCATATTGGTAGGTAGATACCCTTTGCCTGCCATCCAGCCTGCTAGGTCAAACCCATATGGCATGACATGCTAGGTCACTTTGGTTTTTTGGCAACGTAATTTGAATGGTTAGGCAGATTTTGCACGATTAACTATTATAACTCACGAGGCTACCGCTCACCTGTGCCCCACGAACAAGTCCATTCTCTGACCTGCACCGCTGACTCTTCAGAGTCAGGGTGGTCCGTGAGGCGCAGACGCGGGTTCCCGTGCGCTCTGCCTTGGGCTCGTGGGCTGAGCTAACCAGGCTCTGTACCAGAAAACACCAGCGTGAGCTGACCCAGCGCCGGGAAGCGGTGTGGCTCGAACCAGCTGTGGGAGCCCAGGGGCCATGGATCGGCTTCCGGGCAAGAACGTAGAAGCCACAGGGCTGCCGGCCGCCCTGAGCCTGCAGAGCTGCACGCTCCTCAGCGCCGAGAAGAGAGGCGTGGTCACCCCTGAGCCCACGCCGCGCCACGGCCCGTCCACGCAGCGCAGGGGCCCTGTGCAGGGCCGAGCCCGTGGGCCCTGGGGACCGACACAGTCGCCCACGGCGAGATGAGGCTTCTGGGCGCTTTTAGCACGCTGGTCGTTTTCAATGCCGACCCCGCCGTACCAGAAGTTTCCTTGGCGGGCCACATTCTTGTTTTGTCACTTGAATTTTCCTCTCAACCCAGAGTGCCAGATACACGTCTAGGTGGTTGGGGTTTCAGGCCGTCCCCCGACCCCCTGAGGTACAGGGCTTTGGTTGAACGGCACTCGCCCTGCAGCCTCCCCTGCAGCCTCGGGCAGACGCGGGGGCGGGGCTGGGGGCCTGGCCGGGGCTCCGGGCCCTGCCTTGGGGATTACCGAACCAGCTTGCTTTCCGTCTGGGGTCTGGGCGCTCTCCCCAGAGCGCGTCTGTCCAGGCCTGCCTGTCCAGGTGCTGTGCTGGGGAGCTTTGAAGTGGTGCGCAGCCCCTTTGAACGCCGCAGCCGGCTCGGAGCCAGAAATGTGGGCCTCCTGTCTGTCCTTCAGCTGCGCAAGCGCGTCAAAGGGGCTGATTACACTTACGAAATCAAAAATGCTCCCAAGGTGTTTCCTGGAAACAGTACACGTATCGCTTTTTTGTTGATTCCCAGTGAAGTAGGGACCACCTACATTTTTGTTTACCCTCGCCCGGAGACACGCCCACTGGTTTTAGAGAAGGGGAAGGAAGGGAGGGAAGAGAAACGAGGATGTGAGAGAGAAACTTCAATCAGCTGCCTCCCACACCTTCCCTGACTGGGGACCGAACCCGCAGCCCAGGCATGTGCCCTGACTGGGAATCAAACCCGCGCCCCTTCGGCGCGCGGGACGACGCCCCAATCAGCTGAGCCACATCGGTGAGGGCCAAGTAGCTATTTTTAAAGGATGTCTATTTTTAAACGTTTCAAATACAATCAACCATGTGCAGTTAATATAGCCCATTACTTTATAGTGTATCAGGTAAGCGAGTGCCGTTCGAATGGGGAATTCTAATTCCCCAGACGGGGCCGCGACGGGGCT